AGGTCATTGCCTTTGCTGTAGAGGAGAGGCATCCAAGGCCAAGAGGTCAAGGGCAAACAGCCCTTCTGTTTTCCTTTGAGTAGGTTGTACACTGAAGTGAACATCTTAAATAAAGTGAACATCTTAAATAAAGGTCTCAGCCACATATACAACAAGGAAGACAGCCATGCCCTGCCCTAAGCCAGAGGCTGATGATCCTTTAACTAGGGCAGGACTGCTGGGACTACCAGAAAACACACAGAGGTGGGTTGGGAACTCTCAGCCCCCGGGCTGGACCCGAGACCCTCTCTCTGTGCCCTGCAGAAGACCTGTATGGTGGGGGCCACACCAGGTGCAGAGTGAAGGCCTCCCAAGAATCTTTAATGGGCCTGCAGTAGCCTGCCTCTGTCTTCTGCCCCAGAGAGGCTTGGGGTATTCTGCTTTCAACTCTGCTGGAGATATGAGTGTGAAGGTGGTGAGGGTCCAGCCTCTTGGAGGTGGGGTGCCCACAGGCTGCTGGGCTTACTTCTGTGTCAATTCTAGGCGGTAAAGGGAGGGCATGGCTGAGTGCTTCCACATGAAGGCGAAGTTTTCCACATCTATCACGCCACTAACGATTTTGGGCAAGTCATGCTCTCTTTGGGCTTCAGCTTCCACAGCTGTTAAGTGAGGTGAGCTCCCTGATCCCTGAATGACCTATGTTTATGTCTCCTTCCCAGTCCTTCCCCAGCACCTGGCTCTGTGCTTATTGGAGCATCTCTTGAACTCATTCATTCAGCATACATTTATTTAACAGCCTGTGTGCATGATGCTCTGCTCGGGGTAGAGGGCCTGTGGGGATTCAGTGAGTAGAACAGGGTCGCATGCCCAGGACCTCACGGTCTCGCAGGTAAACGCTGCTAAGCAGGGCCACACCGAGGTTGATCAGTCCTCCCCGCCCACTCCTCCTCTCCTCTCCCTTCCTCTCTGGTTCTGGCTACGCTTCCCACTAACCCCCAAAGCTTTGCTCATGCCATTGTGCCCCCATGGAATGAATGAATCTTTCTGTTTTCTTCCCACCCCTCATTTTCAGTCCCAGCTCCAATGCCGCTTCTTCCCTGAAGCCTTCTAGGATTCTTCCAATCCCAAACAAATTGTCCCTCTTTTAGGCTAGCTCCCAGTCACTTGCTGCCTCTCCCTGGGACATACATCTGGCTCTTGTATTCTAGGTGATAGCGCTTGTGGGAGGGCAGGAATGGTGTCTGGTTTGTTCGGTGTTCCCAGAACAATGCCTAGGTACCTGGCACAGTGGGAGGAAAGAATGGCCCAAGGCATGTTTCAGCAGGTAGGCAGGATTAGAGTGGAGCAGAGGGGACCCAGGCAGAGAGGCAGAGGGCTGTGGTAGTCTGAAAAGGGGAGATGGCTCATTCTAAGGGGGGGGGGGCTGTGACAGAGGCAGGACAGTCAGACTTGTAGCTACATGCAGTGTAAGCAGGGAAGGGGTGAGCTTCCTTCCTGCCCACCCAGAGGTCGAAGCCTGGCCAGGCAGGCGGCAAAAGGGAGGCCACACACAGGGCGATCTAGGGAGTGGTCCCAGTGGAGACCCCTGTGCTAGGCGAATTGCCTGCTTTTTTAAGCTCACTTTAGTCTCTCATGCTGGCTCCGAGTCCAGATCCTCTACCGCCGCTGAGTGAATGGAGAAGCTTGCATTCAGAGACGTGAGGTGGCCTGCTGGTGTCTCAAAGAAGTAGAGGATTTGGAACTCAAACCCAGGCCTCTGAAGCATTCTTCCATGCTGGCTGAGGGTGCCAGCCGCTTAGGAATGGCTAAGTGCTGGGAAGGTCAGATCTAAAGGACAGGGCCCTGGCTGGGAAGACAGGCCACGCACTTCCTTAGCCCCTCAGCTTGTCTGACCTGCAGGAGAAAAGCTGTCCACACTGCAAGGCCCTAAGCTGGGTTGGCAGCAGTTGTCCAAAACCGGGGGTGGCGGTGGGGGGGGCAGAACAGAAGGGCAAGGGCCCCAGAGAGGTGGTCAATACCACAGCTCCTAGTCAGGTGATGGCTAGGCTTAGGGGACCTGATCTCCCCGCCCCCCCTCCCCTAGTGGCACCGGGCACGGTTCCCTACCGTTTTGGGGAGAGAGGTCCTGCACTGCGGGGGCCTGATCTTGGACAGGCTCGTTAGACAATACTTAGACGCAGGGGAAACTGAGACGCAGAGAGCTCAGGTGTCTCAGCCAAGGCCACGCTGTGAGCTCCGAGTGGCCCTGGAACTAGAGTCCAGCCTTCTCTCTGACGCCCTCCGGCCTGCGCAGGGCTCGGGC